TCTCAGATCTCTTAAATGTGTGGCTTAGCTGAAGACAGCCAGATTCTGCATCTTATCTGCTGCATTTTGCTGTTTGGGTTGATGTATCTGAGAAATTTGGCCTTACACACGTGTAATCATGGGAAGAGGGAGGGCTTTTACCTGGCTTTTCTATATAATTGTGCATGTCCTTTGTTATTATACCCAGTGTAATAAGTGACAGTTTCATGAAGGCTCCTTGTAATGAAATCATGTTGTTGATTCCTCATTGACCTGTCTTGCGCTTTGACTGAATCAAAGTGGTTTTATAACCTTATGCATTGGTCATTTGGAAGATGTGTTTCTTTGAATTATACATCTTCAAAAACATCCACAGACTTCTTTTTGTAATATCAAATAAGCATGTTTGTTTTCTGATCTCATCAGAAAAGTCTTTAGGTCTCAGGAAACTGCAGTGCTTCTGGTGGTGGACACATGTTTTTCAAAATTCTACTTTTTGTGGGGAGAGCTCTTTTTTTTATTGTCAACAAATGCATTAGTTGTTATATTTTAAGGGATGGATTCACTTCATTTATTTTTAGGATATTGTCCAGATATCCAACATTGGATAGCTGAAGATTGCTAATTATTCTTTCAACTAAAAAAGTTGAAGAAAAATTGCTAGTTCAGCTGGCAATTCAAACACAGGCACTTTTCATGGAGACCTGGTTTTGTAGTAGATGCACATTTTACATACTTAACCACTGTGTTGAGCACAATATTAAAAAGACATGCACTTCAGTTTAGATTTAATAAAATTAATGCTTCTTCACTGAGGACATTTTAAAAAATTTGCTCTTTTTAAATATACATGACAATAGAGTATATTTTTGTCATACATATATGGGGTAACTATGCTAATTAGGATCCGAATCTTGTGGTTGGGCATGATGTGGAGTTACATTGGTCATGTATTCAGATATGAACATAGGAAAGTTATGCCCAATTTATTCTACTGTCTTTTCTATTCTCATCCTCCCTCCCTTCCCTTGTTCCCCTTTGTCTAATCCAATGAACTTCTATCTTCGCCCCTACCCCTTATTGTGTGTTAGCACCCACATAGCAGACAGGACAGTGTTAGACTGTTTATATGAGATAAGATGATGCTTTCTGCTGTGGTCCTGATTGGTGCTAAGCTTCCGTAGTCCCCTTCTCCCACCCCACCCCTTTTGTGTTTTCAGGGCAAATGTCAACCTAGTGAAAATGGAAAGTAATTATTTAATATTAGGGTGAAATGGTTACGACCTCGTGGAACCTCGGAAAAGGTCTGGGGATATCCAGGTTTTGGAGATTACTGTTTGAGTGCCACTGGCCTGGGCTTCCTTCTCCCTCCCATTTCTTCCTTTTCTTTGTTCTACACATTGAATCCTCCAGACCAGTTCAGATTCCCCTCTTTAGGCTTTTAAAAACCTTTGCTCTCTTTTGTCATTGCACCATAATGTCCTTTATGGGATTATTTGTTGGTTGTGAAGACCAGACAGTGACTCTGTTGGTTTTGCTCACTGTTGGCTCCCTGGGCCTGACTAGGGCCCAGTACATACCAGGCACTCAATGAATGTTTGTTGAATGAATAAGCTCCTTGTGTAGCACCTGTGCTGGGAGTTGAGGACCCAGAGCTATGCCTAGTGAAGGAGCTGAGTTGAGGCCTCCGGTGGCCATGTTAGGCAGTAGCAAAAGGCATAAAGTCTGTAGGTCCATTGAGGAAGTCAGGCTAAGGGCCCAGGACATGGTGGGCCTGTGTCTCCTGAAGGGAGCGATGGCTAAGCCCTTGCTAGAGCTGATTCTGTGAGCCTCTTGGTGTGGTACATGGCCAGTTTCTGAAGACACCTTTTGTTCCTTTGTTTTCCCATCAGGTCACAGTTACCTGGAGAGGCTCCTGAATGTTGAGGTGCCCCAAAAAGTCAGGTGAGTTCAGTTCCAGGGCTAAGGGACGCTCCCAGGTGTGGGCAGGGCACTCTGGGGACCAGGGAGTTGAGGTGAGCACCAAGGATGGAAGCATTTCCTGCTGCTGAGCCCTCCCTCCCCGGGCTGGACCATCCATGGCATTGCTGGCAGCCCTGCCCTTCTCCCCAGCCCATTTAACCAGCCAGTGAGCAGCAGGGTGCCAGTCTCTATGTAGTACTTGTCAGCTCTGCTTGGCCTGCTCTGGCGGGAGGGTGGGCTCCATAGGTTGTAGATGAGGCAGACCAGCCTCGAAGAACACCTTCAGATTGGGGCAGGTGAGGTAGGGGGGTAGCCTGGAGGATTTGGAGTGCTCCCCATTCCAGGGTCACACTGCCTGGGGCCATGACACTGACTCCTCTTCCTGGAGGCCACGTTCTGCCATCACTAAAGCCAGCCCCCTCCCTTCTGGCTTTGGAGCAGAGGGCCACCGCTTGGGTTGGGCATACCTGCTGGCCTGACCAGCCCCTGGACCCAGAGACAGGGCTCATCTGGGTCCAGGAGATTGCAGTGAGCTGGGAGTGGGCTCTGTGTTAACTTTCCAATACAGACACCTGAGTAACCAATTAATAAGAGAAAAAGCTCCCAGTTTTAGTGGTCTCAGTCCATGACCAACTGACCTGTTGCTTTGGGCTTCTGGCAGCAGCATGCATCACAAAGGAGAGCCTAGGGGTGCAAAGCCATTTACCTCCGGGCCAGGAAGAGAAGGGAAGGAGCCGGTGGCGCCTCACTATCCCCATCCAGACCACATCCTATTGACCCTAAGACCTCCACTAGTCCCCACTTCTTAAAATGCCCATCACTTCCCATTAGTGTTACTCTGGGGACCAGCCCTTTAACATAGGGATCTTTGGGGACCGGACCTTTAAGAACCAAATGATAGGGTTGGGGCTGAGGCTGTGCTCAGGGGTGAGCACTTGCCTAGCATGTGTGAGCACTAGGTTCGATTCTCAGCACTGCTTATCAATAAATAAAATAAAGGTCCATTGACAACTAAAAAAAAAAAAAAAGAAGAACCAAAGGATAGCAAGCTGCCCTCCCAATCAAAGCCATGATGGGGGCGAGATGAAACCAGGTTCAAAGCTGACATCCTCTGCCCAGGAAGCTGCTGGTCATGGCTGTCATCCTCCCATCATGCCTTGGGGCTGTCGGTGTGTGCCCAGGTCAGGTCCTCTGACACCGACTACCCCAGAGACAGGGGGAGGGCCTAGACTTGCCGGGGTGTCCCTGTAGTATCCCCTTCTGCTTTCAGCCCTGAGCACAAGGAATCCAGTGACAAGGATGAGCCTGTGGAGGCAGACAAGCCAGAGGTGAGGCGGGCAGCCGGGGGGAGGGCCTGAGGGCCCCCGGGGCTCTGGTCCACATCACAGTCATCCCAGGCCTTCAGTTCCAGGCAGGGCCCCTTAAGCTTGCTTCTTCTCACAGGCCTCCAAGAACGATGGGAGTAACTCGAGGCTCCATGGTGCCACCAAGGTTGCCCCTAGTGCGTCCACATTGAAGCCTGCAGCTGGTGACCAGGAAGCACCCTCTTCCTCTGAAGGGCAACAAGGTGAGTCTTCCTGACCTGTTGCATGCGGGTACCAGAGCCACAGGAGGCTGTGCTGGTCTCAGCCTGGCCTGTCTTGGGACGAGGAACCCCGTTTTCTGGAGTAAATGAAACCTGAAGATAGCATAGATCTTCTGGCTGGCGCTGTTGCTGGGTGCTGCACGAGTGGCCTTGGCTGGCTGGGGCAGGAAGCAGGGGGAAGGGCCTGAATCGGGGTATGAATGTGAGGTGCCTGGTTCAGGCTTTGAACTCTACTCCAAGGGGAAGAGGGGAGAGCCTGGCCGCCTGCTTTGTCTCTGTATCTGGCTCACTGTTGACCTTCGTAGGTCCTTCCCTGTGGACAGAGGGCTGGAGAACCGTGGCTCTGGGAGCTGGCCAGCAGCCCTCCCTGGCTTTCTGGGCTCCTCGGGGGATCCTGGGGTTGGGGTTACATCTCCTGGGAAGAGTGCTTCTCCTCTGGTGGGGAGAATACTGTAGCTGTAAGATTTTTTGGCTTCCTTCTCTTTATGACAGGGTCTGTGACAATGGTTGTGCCAGCCCTACAGCCCCCAGGGTGGCTGCAAGTTCCCTTTGGAGTAAGGGGCACTTTCTCCTAGTGTGAAGCAAATCCCGAGCCTGCATTCCACATGGTGACTCTGTACAGGAGCCTGTCCTTCTGCCATGGTGTCACTGGCTCAAGGCCCATTGACAGTTTAGCAACTGTGCATGGAGCTTCAGGGGCTGTAGCTCCAGTGGGACTGTCCTGCCATTCTTGCCACCGATACCAGGCACTGGGGCTGAGGGTTCTGGCCTGGGGATAGTGTGTTAGGCTCTGGATGAACATAAATTCCTTAGAGCCAGTGACTACATTGCTAAGGCTTACACTTCTGTCACGGGCCACCCTGGGGGCTGCCAGGAAGAGCCTTGCCCCTCCTATAGCTCCAGCTGGGAGCCACCTCTCCGAGTCCCTCCATGCCCAGCCCACCAACATTGTCCTGCAGCCCTGTTGAAATTGCTCTCTTCACAGAGGCCAAGACTGATGAAGCAGATAGACACAGAGAGCCACCCCGGAGTGTCAGGTTTGCACCTGGGAAGGGGCATGTGGGTGATTTTCTTTTAAGGGGTCCACAGGGGCATGAACTGGAAGGCTTTGCACGAGGAGGGGGATGTTGTTGAGGGGCTCCTTTCTTGTTGGGGTTCATGGCCTGTGTTCTGACTTATTGAAGGAGGCTGTTCAATGCTGTGGTGCCAGCACTGGCCTGGGAATGGGGTGATCTAGTCATAAACCCTGTCCCTCTGAGTATTTTTGGCTATGTGACCCTGGACTGGTCACCTTCCTTTCTCTGCATGAGTCAGAGGGCTGGCCAGGGAGACCCCAACTCAATAGTCCCTTCCAGTCCAGAATCCTGACTTATTTTTTTGGTACTAGGAATTGAACTCAGGGCACTTGACCACTGAGCCACATCCCCAGCACTATTTTGTATTTTATTAAGAGACAGGGTCTCATTGAGTTGCTTAGCACCTCACCAGCCTTTGCTGAGGCTGGCTTTGAACTCATGATCCTCCTGTCTCAGCCTCCCAGCTGCTGGGATTATAGGCGTGAGCTACCGTGCCTGGCTAGGGCTGACTTTATGTTTTTTTATGGGGTGTGGCGGAGTGTGGGGAGGGTGCATGGGTCTGCCCTGTGACGTTGCCAATGTGCCTGGGTAGGAGGAAACGCAGCTATAAGCAGGCGATGAGCGAGCTGGACGAGCATCATCTGGGGGATGAGGAGCTGCAGCCCCCCAGGTGTAAGACTCCTTCCCCACCCTGCCCAGCCAGCAAGGTGAGTAGGCTCCCAACTCTGTGCTGTTCCCTGTCCTGTTTGCCCTGTCCTAATCTCTTTCCTCACTGGCAGGTGGTACGGCCCCTCCGGACCTTTCTGCACACAGTGCAGAGGAACCAGATGCTCATGACCCCAACCTCGGGATCCCGCAGCAGTGTCATGAAGTCTTTCATCAAGCGCAATACTCCCCTGCGTGTGGACCCCAAGGTGAGGGAGCCCCGTTTTCTGGTCCAGCTTTACTCAAGCTGGGGCTACTGGGAGTAGTGTGGGTCCGGACAGAGACAGGGGCAGAGGCAGGTATGGCCTGGCTCTGATAAAGGGCCAGTTCAAGGCTCTGTGGCCATGAGCAGCTTGACACTGGGGTCACTGCCTTGACCTTCTAGTCCTCTGGACTGTCGCCCAGAGCCTTGGTGGCTCGCTGTGAACCCTGGGCTGGGAAGTGGCAGGATGGGCCTAGCAGACCTACAGTGCTCACCGTCCTCCCAAGTGTGAGGGCTCAGGTGAGGAGTGGCACAGACGCTGCAGGTGGGCGTGGGGTGGTACTGCTAGTGAGAGTATAGGCTCTGAGCAGACGCCTGCTGTCACTGCCAGGTTTGGGACCTTGGCAATAACTCTTGGCTTTTTCCTGTCTTCTTCACAGTACAGCTTTGTCGTAAGTAAAGCCTGTTCCTGTCCTGTAACAGCTCACCTAGCACTTCCCTGGGTAGCCCTGTCTGTGTAACTGACAGCTGTGGAAGCACTAACATTGCAAGGGGAGCATTAGGAAGAGACGGGGATGGCGGTGAGGGGCATTTGAGGCACCAGGTGGCTGATTGGAGGCACTCAGAAGTTCTGGGGTCTGGTGTCCTCCCTCTGCTGAGTCTGCCCTCTGCTTGTGACCTTGCTCTGGCAGGGACATAAGCAGGGTGTGTCCTGTAGCTGTTCACTGGGACTACAGCTCCAGTTGTTTCCTACCACCCCCTCTCTTCCCTGTCCCCAGCACTGGGGGCCTGTGGGTCTGCTAAGAGAACAGACAGATTGTCTCTGGTCCCCAGAGCCATTGAGATTTATTGGGTCACAGATCTAAGCAGTAGCCTTGAGTTGGTGGAGCTACGGGGGAGGGAGGTCTGGCTTTGAACTGGGCTATTAATAGAGAATTGTCTCTGGGTCTGTAGCTCTGTGGTAGAGCATTTGCCCAGCATGCACAAGGCCCTGGGTTCGATCCCCAGTATTGAAATGAAACAAAACACCAAACCTTACAGTAGAATTGTTGCAGTGACATCTAGAAACAAGGCCACAGAAGCTGTTCTCTTCTCAGACACCTCAGCTGAGCTGAGCCAGGTTACTGACCTTGAGTAAGAACCTAGAGGAGCTCGGGCCTGCTTAGCCTTCAGGCTGGGCTCCTGTGCCAGTTGCCAAGACTAACCTTTGTTCCTTTGTTTCCTGTGGGAGCCCTGGAGGGCTGCCCACTGACTACCAGAAGGGCTTCTGCCTCCAGCGGATCACCTCTGCAGGTGGGAGGGGCTTCCCAGTACTTGGCCTGGTGGGTCTGGAGCCTGCCCTTCCTGCAGGGAGCCCCGTTCCCTGGTTGGACGGGGTGATAGTGTGCCTTCCAGTTCGTCAGCCAGGAGGCCGAGGCCCTACACTCCTGTTACTGTGCTAGGCTCCCACTAGGCTCCTGGGCCCACAGTAGTGAAGAGGACTAGCTAGCCCTTGTGTGCCCCACACCCTGATTTATTAGAGATTTGCAGTTCTCATGGGTGTGACTGAGACATCTGGGACGTTGCCCTTTTCTGCTCTGGGGAGTCCAGGCCCCTGAACAGGGCATCTGGTGGGTATGGACAGTCCTTAGATGAAAAACCAGGGGCCACACTTTCTTGGGCCTATGTTTCCTTGGTCACAAAATGAAGAGACTAGTGAGAACTTCAAAGAGATTTGATGACCCAGAGAGTAATTGTGTCAGGTACCTACTACAGGACTTGGTATAAAGCCAGCACTGGGTACAGGACAGACTGCCTAGGTGAGGGCTCTGGAGGCAGAAGGGGCTTCCCTGGCTCATGGTGTCCTCCCAGCCTCTGCTTGGGCCTCTGGGGAGCGGGAACAACCCACCTGTTTTTGAGAAGCAGACAGAGAAGAAACAGATTCTGTGACACGAGCTACTCTGAAGCACCAAGTTTTCTTACTAAATTTGTAATGCAACAAGATGAAGGGCTCTGGTCTGTGCTGGGAAAGCTGTCACTTGAGCTTTGGGACACAATTCTGTTTCACTGAGCCTTGCTGAAAGTTGGAGTCTGCTCTGCTCTTGGAGCAGGAGGAAAGGGTGGCAGTCGGGTGCCATATGGCCTTTGCTTCTGAGGTGCTTTCCTGGAAGGAGAGCAGATGGGTGCAGCTGGGTGGAGAAGCCTGTGGGCCCCACCCTCCTCTTGTTCTCCCCAGGTCTGGTAGTTGCAGAGCCAGGGTGTGCTGAAGGCCTGCCCTTCCTCCCTCCGCTTGGAGCCCCAGTGTCCTGCAGGCCTTTTCTGTACCCAGCTTCACTTCTGTGGCTCCTTGTGTCTCTCTTTCCTCCCATTTTTCTCTTCACTTTTTAAGAAATGTTTTGTTTGAAACAGTGATCTTACAGTAAAATGGACTTTTTTTTTTTTTTTTTTTGGCGGGGGTAGGGAGTATAGTTCAATGAATTTTAACATGATTTCTGTAACCGCCATCACAGTTGGGATGCAGAACCTCTCCATCACCACAGAGCGCCAGTAGCAGCCCCTGTGTGGTCATACCATCTCTCTGCCTTGATCCTAGCAGCCATTGACCTGTTTGCCCTCAGCTCAGTGTGGTGGTGACTTTTGGAGAATGTCATGTTAATTGTTGAGTCATAGCTATCTTTGGAGATTAGCCTCCTGCTGTCTGCCCAAGGTCTTTCAAGGCATCTGAACCATCATATTCAAAGTGAGTTTCTTACAGACAGCAGATATTTGGTTTTTAAAAAATAATTCTGACAATGCCTTAATTTGATGTATTTATATTTAATGATAGGTTGGAATTTAGGGCCACCATTACTTTATTATTATTATCATTTTTTTTGTTTGATCTTTCCCCTTTTCTTTTTTCAGAGGCTTACTAGAAAACTTTTGTGTGTTCCATTTTATCTGCTGTGATTTTGACTATCCTTCTGCAGCATTCTCTCCAGGTGTTTCCAGGAATTCCGTGTTCCACTTAATCTGTTGAGCCACCATTTCCCCAGTGTGGGCATGTGCAAAAACCTCCCCCTGGGCCCCTTGGCCTCCCCCACTGTTGCTCTAGTTGTCTTGCATATTACATCCTTTGGTTTTGATACATTCTAGTTTTGGCTTTCAACTGCTGAATATCTTGTTGAACTCAAGAGGAAAAGAATTTTCTCTTGACCTGGGTATCTGCCAATTCTGTTGCTCTTTCTTTGTTCTGGATATTTCATGTTTCTTTGTGGAGAGGAAAACTTCTTTTAATGGTTCTTTTAGAATCGGTGTGCTGGCAACTCATTCTCTAGTTTTTCTTCATCTGAGGAGCCTAGCTCTCTTCCTATTTCTGTAAGATGCTTACACTGGGTATAATTTTTTTTTCTTAAAAACTTTAAAAATTTCCTTCTCATAAGAAATCTTTAGTCATTCCAAATATTGTTCCTCTGTAGGGAGTGTATCCTTTTATTTTGTCTGATTTTAATACTTTACTTTTGTTTCTAGTTTTTAGGTTTGTTTATGATGCATGTGTTCATGGATTTCTTTATAGTTTTGGGTGCATCTCCTGTCAAGGTCATGTGGTTCACTGACCTTAAATCCCAAGATCATATATTTCATTGGACTTGGCAGAATTATCAGTCATTGTTTTTTTAAATGTTCTTAAGCATCACCTTCCTCTCCTTGTGAGATTATAAGATATACTAATGAATCACATGAAGACCTGTTTTTTTTGTTTTGTTTTGTTTTTGATACCAGGGATAGAACCCAGGGGCACTTAACCACTGAGCCCCATCCCCTATTTATTTATTTAATTTTATTTTGAGATAGAGTCTTGCTAAGTTACTCAGGGCCTTACTAAGTTGCTGAGTCTATCTTTGAACCTGCAGTCCTCCTGCCTTAGCCTCCTGAGCTGCTGGGATTACAGGCGTGTGCCACTGCACCTGCAGGCCTTGTGATTTTGTCTTAAAACAGTGAGTTTGGTTAATTTTTCTTCAATAACTTTTTCTGTTCAATTTGATTAATGTTTATTGATTTATATTCAGTTTTGCTATTTGTCCTGTCTTTTTTGCTGTTGAACTTATCCATTGAATTTTAAAGTTTCAGTTATTGCATTTTTAGTTCTAAAATTTCCATTTGTTTCTTTTATATCTCATGTTTCTTTGCTGGGATTTTTCTGTTTGTCTAGTTTTCGGGAAAATATTTGTGATGACTTATCAGAGCATTTTTGAAATACCCATTCTAAAGTCTTTTTCAGATAAATTCCAACAACCATGCCACCTTGGAGTCTGTTAATTGTTTTTTCCCATGTCAATTGAGATTTTCCTGTTTCTCTGCATGTTGAGTGATTTTTGGATTGTCTCCTCAATGTTCTTCTTATTAGGCTTGAGGCTCTGGGTCTTGTTTAAGTCTTATGGAGAGTGTTGGTATTTTTACCAACTCTGCAATTTAGCAGCAAGCGACTTGATTCGTTTTCAGGCTGCAGGTTCCCGTCTGTCTTCTGTGGCATGTGCATCCAAAGTTGGTTCATGTTTTCAAGCCTTTGCTGTATGGGTCTAGCGGAGTGTGTGCCAGTCTGAAGGGGCTTGAAGGTGATCTGTTTTATCTTAGTTTTGGGTGTGATAATTAGAGTCAGATGCTTGCATCTGCAGCCTGGAACAGAGCCTAGGAACTCATAAATAATCCATGGAATCCCTTTCCTGATTCCTTCAGTACTTTCCAGTTCTCTGGAACTCTCCTTTTCCATCCAGGGAGCTAGGACTTTGGTTACCTGGCTCTGCCTTGTGCTTCTATGACTGCACCCAGGGCCACCTGGTAGAAAGACCAAGTAACAAAGAGTAATAAACAAGGTTGAGCCTAGACTTTCAGGAACATAGTTCCATAGTCTGGAGTCTGCAGCAACTGCTGCAGCCCCTGGTTACCATGACAGAAAGGATTTGTGTACTGTCTCTGTTAGACTTTCTCTTTCTGATCCCTGAGTCAGATCTAGGGGGCTTTTCTTGGAGTTCTCCTTCTGCACCCAGCTGATCCTGACCCTTTGGGGTTTCAGGTTGCACTGAATTCAGGCTGGGCTGGGCAGGAGAGGTAAAGGAGAACTTATTGCTGGTGCTTCAGAGTCTGGTCTTGTTTCCAGATCTGCCGCTTTATTCTTCAGAGGCTTCAAGTAGCTGTTCTCTGCATTCTGCCAGGTTTTGTGACCGTCATAGGTGGGAAGAATAGGTGGTGCGTGCCTACTGTGCTCTAGCCCTTAACCAGAGCTTCAGGAGGATCGTGCCACGTCCCTGCTAGATTTCTGGGTGGGAGTGCTCTTCTTGTCAGGGTCAGTTGGCCAGGAGCCAGGGAGAAACTGATAGTAACCAGTTGGAGGGGGAACAGGGTGGCTGGCTATTGGAAGCTGAGTCCAAAGAGGGAGTGGAAGCCAGTTGAGGGTGGTGTATGCAGGGCTATGGTCTTGGCCTCAGCCTCTATTTTCAGCCCCAGACCGTTTAGGGGGAAAACAGCAGACTTGCCCTTGGCCAGGGAGGGTGTGGGGCTCCTGTTGACTGTCCACGCCCTAACTGTGCCCTCCTGTGGCTTTTTGGGTCTGCCCAGATGGGGTGCTAGCATCAATCTGCTATACAGCTACTACTACTTTTTAAAACTTGTTTTAAAAAATTCTATCATGGGAATTCGGAAAATTAAGAAATATCATATTTAATCTGTCTCACCATAGTAACCTTTGTTAGCACTTGACAATACTTTATTGTTTTCAATGCTTCTGAAATAGTTGATGTACACAAAAGAATAAAGTATTCACAAATAGCGTACGTTATAAAGCATGATGGTGACAGTGCTTGTGTGTGTGCTGGCCCCTTATGCAGAACAGCAGCCAGAGCTGTTAAAGCTGTCTTCTTGTCCCTTCCCAATCCCAGCCTCCATTTTCTTTTTCAAATGCATTATTTATAGAATCAGCACACACATTTCAATTTTGAGCCTGATTTTTGTGCTGCCCATAACTTGGCAGGGCTCAGCCGAGGGTGCTTTGTGACTCCGGCCCTTGGAGGCGTTTGGATCCTCCTGGGAGCAGAGACTGAAGCCCCTGCCCAGCCTGGGTGAGCATGGAGGGCATGCTAGGGGCACCTCTGCCTCTAAGGAACATTCTCTGCTGCTGTCCACCTGGCTGAGGCTGGGCAGCCTTTGGAGTGGGGTTAGTCCTTGCTCATGTCCCAGCCCCTCTCACCCCCAGGAGAAGGAGCGCCAACGCCTGGAGAACCTGCGGCGGAAGGAGGAGGCTGAGCAGCTGCGCAGGCAGAAGGTGGAGGAGGACAAGCGGCGGCGGCTGGAGGAGGTGAAGCTGTAAGTGTCCCGGCCCCTGACCCTGCCCTTCCCAGCCCCAGCCCGCCCGGGTCTCGTAAGACTCTCTGTGCCTGTAGGAAGCGTGAGGAGCGCCTCCGCAAGGTGATGCAGGCCCGAGAGCGCGTGGAGCAGATGAAGGAGGAGAAGAAGAAGCAGATAGAGCAGAAGTTTGCTCAGATCGATGAGAAGACCGAGAAGGTGAGAGCCTGGGCTGGGGCTGCCATGCCGGGTGGGCTCGCCCTGGTGGGGCCTGAGCTCTCAGACCTGGCAGGCTGAGGGTGGGGCTGGGCCTCTTGGGAAGCTGTGGGTTTAACACGCTATCCTGTCTATATCGTGGGCCCTGAAGGCCATTCTGAACCAAGCCAAGGGCTGATATTCTGGGCTCTGGGTTTTCCCAGCAGCCTTTTGCGAGTGGGCAGAACTGACCCGCTGGATGGCGGCCGTTGCCCTTTCTCTGGGCTGTGGGGAGCAGTCACGGTTTTTAGTGGCACCGGTACCCATCACGCAGAGTTCTGGGCCCTACTCTGTGGAGCTGTGTGAGGGCCTCCACCAATGGGCACGTGCGGGTGGGCTCTGCAGGCCAAGGAGGAGCGGCTGGCAGAGGAGAAGGCCAAGAAAAAGGCGGCGGCCAGGAAGATGGAGGAAGTGGAGGCGCGTAGGAAGCAGGAGGAGGAAGCGCGCAGGCTCAAGTGGATCCAGCAGGTGCGATGCAGGAGGGCTGCAGGGAAGGGGGTGGGCAGGAAGGTCACTGCCTTGGTGCCCGAGGACCTGCTGGGCACACCTTCTATTGGGGTTGATTCTGGTGGATCTTGTTGCTTTGAGCCCAGGAGGAGGAACAGCAAGTACCTCGGGGGTGGGGATGCTGACTGTAACCTGCCCCCTGTCTCTGAGGAAGAGGGCATTTTGAGGGTGAGGTTCATGCATTTGGAGTTAGACTTCTGACAGCTCTGCCATTTGTTAGCTGTGTGACCTTGGGCAGGTTACCTGACCTCTCTGCTTCTGTTACTTGCAGTGGGAGCAGTATCTTCTGGATAGTGTTATTGTGAAGGTTAAAGTGTCACCTGATGTGAGGTCGTCAGGTGGTGTCTGGCTAAAAGTCTTCCACATGATTGCCCTTAGAGCCACCCTTCCTCTGAACAGGAGGGGCCTGCCTCTCCCTGGGAACTGTGTCTCACTCCTGTAGGGAGTGGAATCTGTCATTAGGGAGTTCTGTGCCGGGCACTGTCCTAAGTGTCATGTGGGTGAACTCACAACTCCCTGGGGCGTCAGGTACTATTCTTGTTCCCATTTTATGGATGAGGAAGCCATGGCCAGCGTTGTTAAGTGACTTACTGAGTGTTACGCAGCTGGTGGGCCTAGCTCCAGCCTCGGCCCTTGCTTGTTGAATCTGCCTCTGTTGGTGTCACCAGATGCCTTTTCAGCCTGGCCATGGTGGCGCTCGCAGAGCTTCACCTGGCAGCCCACCTGGCGGCTTAGCCCCTGCCGCTGCCTGTGCCAGAGGACCCTGGGTTGGCACAGCCCCTCACCCCTTCGGCCAGCCTCTCCCTCCCTGGGAGCCCTGGCTGGCGAGAGTGCCCTTACCCACCTCTGCACGGCTGTCTCAGGAAGAGGAGGAGCGACGCCATCAAGAGCAGCTGCAGAAGAAGAAGGAGGAGGAGCAGGAGCGGTTGCACAAGGCCGAGGCCAGGCGGCTGGCAGAGCAACGGGAGCAAGAGCGGCGGCTGGCAGAGCAACGCGAGCAGGAGCGGCAGCTGGCAGAGGAGCGCAAGAGGGAGCAGGAGCGCAAGAGGGAGCAGGAGCGGCTCCAGGCCGAGAGGTGAGGCCCTGCTCATAGCCTGCCTTCCCGTGCGTGCGTGGGAATGAGACGGTGCATTGTCACCAGTGTGGCTCCCGGCTTCTCTTGGGTTGGCAGGCTCTTTCCTTACCTTCAGAGCCGGGTGCCCATGGCTGCTGGCCTCCGAGTAGGGTGCACTTTGTCTACAGCAGACGCAGGAGCCATGGGAGGGGTGGCCTGGCTCTGGCTCTGTTCTGCCTGCAGGCAGTGGTGCTGCCTTTTTGGTCTCTTTTCCTTAGTGACAGGTAGGCTAGCACTTCCCAGCAGGGCTGCTGTGGGCTGGGACTACAGGAAGCCCACAGGTATTTTTTTTCTGTTAACAAAACTGGCATCTTGGGCCAGAGGGATCTTTGTGATGCAGCATGGGGCCTTCAGCACTCTGGGTCCTGCCCCCACCAGATGTACACCCCATGGTGATGAGGATGACCCAGGGTGCCTCCCACCCCAGCTCCCCACCTTGGGGACTCTGGATTCCATGAACCCTGGGACCTCCTGGCTGTGCCGAGGAGTGGTCTCTGTGAGGCAGGATAGGATTCTGCAGTTAGTTTTCCAAGTAGTTACCTGAGACCCACCTGTGCCTGGTCGCTGGGGTTCTGGGGATGTCAGGGACAAAAGCCACACTCACTGTTGGCCAGGAGATGTGAGAGGACTGTGCCCACGAGTGTGTGTGGCCCAGCAGCTGTCCTCTTTCCTGCCCCATCTCCTGGGAAACGCCATCTTTGTGGTGGATACAGGCTTAACGGAGAATTGAGGAGTCACAGCCAAAGGGCTGGACTGTGATAGTGCTGTCTTCTGGTGCTTATTGATTGACATAAAGTTGTCCCTGGTCCTATGGACAGAGTTGGAGGTTGAAGTCCAAGACAGTAGAAAGGGGTGGCAGCTGATGTGGTTTTAGAATTGGATAGTGCAGGGTGGTATTGTCACCCTACGAGGGGTGACAGGATAATTATAATGGTAGCCGTGGTGGGTACCAAGCTGTGTTTTACCCACGCTTCTTGCGTCCTCACTTGAAGCTCACTGTGGCTTAGGAACCATCAGCTCCACTTCACAGAGGAAGTAACTGGTTCAGAAAGGTTATGAGCTAGTTTGTTGTAGAAGGGGTGCCAGATCCATCACAGCCCCTCCTCTGCTTCATGGGTTGAGCTGGTGTCTGCCCTGTGGGTTAGAATGATTGCAGGTAGCACAGAAGGTTTCATTTGACTCT